TCCTCCTGTTTGTTCCCCATACTACAAGCATTGGTATATAGACATTCCATTACTTTGTCCCCTGGAACACACTTATACCGGTTTTTGTGTAATTTCTGTCCCTAGCCTCAAAGTCTGATCTTAGTTGAGTATACACTACTGTTGTTTGATGACTATTCTGATTTGTTGTGGTGTGTGGTGGTACGTTTATGGTTCCAGGAGGGGTATTTAGTTTGATTGGGAGGAGATAGTTTTAAACCTGTGGTGGAAGTCAATAAATGAGTTCAGGTGTTTGGTCTGGATCATGAAAATATCATTTATGTAACATAGATATAGAGCAGGTTTGGTGCTGCAGTTTTCTAGAATTTTTTTCTCCAGGTGGTTCATGAAAAGGTTGACATATGGAGGGGCCATCTTTGTGCCCACAGCTGTGCCCTTGCCTTTGAGAAAGTGATGATTTTTTTTTAAGTGAAGTTGTGGGTGAGGTTGAAGTGGATGAGTTGTGCAACATGTTGTCGCAAATCGGAGTATACTCCATGTTCTTGTAGTTATTTCAGGTAGCAGCTGAGCCTTCCTGGTGATAGATGTTAGTGTACAGGCTGGTGCCATCTATGGTTGTAAGTATGGTCTTCTCAGGGAGGTTGTTGATATTCTAGATTCTGTCAAGAAAGTCTGTGGTGTCCTGTGGAAAACTTGCTCTTGTAAAAATCCCATGATTATGTTATTTTCCTCCTTGGTCAAGGTATTTTTAAACAATGGAATCTTTTGATATTCAGGGTTTATTTTAGGTGTTTGCACATAAATGTAGGAGGCTAACTTCAACCACTCAGGCTTGGAAAACATATTCCCCTTATTTATAATTTAACGGTCACATGGGTGGCAAACTGGCTCCAGGGGCACACCCAGAGGGTGGTGGTGGATGAGTTGATGTCGACCTGGGAGGGTGTGGGCAGCGGAGTCCCCCAGGACTCGGTCTGTGGGCCGATGCTGTTCAACATCTTCATTAGCAACCTGGACGAGGGTGTGGAGAGCGCACCCTGTTCAAGTTCGCTGATGACAGCAAGCTGTGGGGTAAAGTGAATACACCAGCAAGCAGGGACTGCATCCAGGCCGACCTGGATAGGATCTGAACAGGATCTGAACAGGATGCAGTTCAACAAGGACAAGTGCAGGGTGCTGCACCTGGGGAGAGGGAACCAGCATTATGGTTATAGGTTAGGGGCTGACCCTCTCGGCAGCACAGAGGCAGAGAGGGATCTTGGAGTCAGGATTGACTCCAGGATGCATATGAGTC